TCAGAGTAACAACCAACCAATAAGAAACCTCTTCGATCAACCAGCGATAGAAAGAAGACTAAACAGAATGTGGCCAGAGGATCTCATTAGATAAGCACCAGAGAATCATCGGAGGATGATATCTGCTTCAGTATTACATACACCCATCCCTTTCACTAATTACTCCATTTATATATATTAAGTAGATTGTAAAATTATTTCAAAATAAAAAAAAATATTTTCTGCCTTTATGTCTTTCCTGATTCCGCTAATCTCTGCCTTGACACTTTCCTGGTTAGCATTCAGATCTGCTCTAACACGGTTAATGTTTTCATTGGTAGCACCAAGATCTGATCTAACACTGTTGATGTTTTCATTATTTGCACTCATATCTGCCCTAACAATGTTAATTTCTGATTTGACACTGTTAATGTCGGACTTAAAGCTTTCTTGCAGATTATTATGGCTTTGCTGAATCGCTGCCATGAAACCCACAAGCATCTGCTCAACATTACTGGTTTCTTTAACCGAAAGTTCTTTTGACGGTGTCTGAATGACTTGTTCTGCTTGTGAGTTCTGGAGTGCTTCCTGCTGTGAAGGTCCAGAACTTTCACCTTTGTCTACTAAACTGCCTAATCCTACAGGCTGGTCACTCGGTGTAAAGCTGACTTCCTCCTCAGCCGGTAATTCCTGACTCTCCTGACAAGCTTCTGCCGTCCGACGGCTCGCCATTGTTGCACTGGGGTACTAACCTTTGGTTTGTTGCCGGTTTACCTCCGTTACGTTGCCTGCAGATGAAATTCTCGAAGGTTCACGCTCCGTGCGTCTTGACCATTGGAGGTTCACGTTCCGTCTGTCTTGACCCGTTAAATCGGAATGTTGCTAGATGTGCTGTTCCTTTACCCCTGGTGGTTTTGCAGTTCCTCTGTTCTAGGAGTCGTGCTGTTAATGTGCTCGGTTGCAGCTGGCTCTTTTCCTGTACCTCTTCTTTTTGTTGCGACTTCGAGCCCCGCGTTGTTGCTGCGCCACTTTTGTAACTGCACTCTCACCTACCTTTTTGTTAAACTCAATTATGACCTTCTTCCTTGAACTAAAATTTATCTCAGGGTTATTTGATTTATAAAGAGGTGATGTTGGTTCGGTAGAGCTGAGTTTCTCTTATCCAGAGCCTTGAACGGGCCACAACTCCAAGAAATAAGAAATAAACACAAACAACAAAAGCACATTTCAATTTCAGATGTATTATTATTATTATTATTATTATTATTATTATTATTATTAGACACTTGTTTATCACTGCTTAACACGGTACAACTGGCTAACACCAGTATACTTTTACTTCTTGTTTCTACAAGATCCGGCGTGTAACTTTTAAGTCTGATTTCTTTAAAGGCCGGAGTGTGAGACTTCACGTCTGGTTCCTACGAGTCCCGGTGTGTGACTGACTTCGACAACTCTTTCCTTCAAACCATCAAGTCCTTGTTCCTTTTAGCGTCTCGGCTGTGTCACACCCTTAAATTTTAGTGATTGGTCACATTTGAAAAATAGGAGTATCTTAATGGGGTATTCCTCCACTCCGTTTAAAGCGTACAAGGGATTTAGGTTTCTGAGCTCCAACGCACTTTCTGTCAGAATCTTGACACATGTTAAGCTTGGCTTGGGCCATTAAAACTCCAGTACTTTAAGTTATGGCATGCACAAACTGTCAAGTATTGAATTCACAAAAGATTTCGTAGTTACGCTTTCATGTAACATTTCTAAGAAACCCGCGACGGGGTGACTTCCTCTTTCTGCTGTACGCGTGGGAAGACGCTAACTCTTACATGCAAGAATGGACCTATGGTTCACTACACTTGTTCATTGCATCCCATTGTGAATAATTAAGATTTCAAATTAATAAAATTAATTTCATTAAAATAAGTTGCATAGCAGGGGAACGGTTACAGTAAGGAAACGCCCCGTTTCTTTAACCAAGACAAGGAAGTTAAGCATCCATTAGACGAATTACGTGCTTTCTTTGTAATAAGAATAATTGTATTGACGATTTTATCCTAATTGAAATAGGCGTGTTACGTTATCAAGCAAAAGAAAAAATATATCTTTCATTTAAAGCCACCAGTTTGCAACATACGAATAATGGGGATTTTAAATTGCAAAAGAAGAACATCTAAACAAAATATTTATCACAGTAAGGACAATCCAATATGAATGAAATGAGTGAGTGGGAAGAAAAGTTGTCAGTGTGTTTAATTATCACGCCATGAAGTGGTATGGGGAAGTGGAGGCATAATTCCACACAGTCTTAACCTTCTGCACTAGATTGAGGAGCGTTTGACTGGGTGAGGGCCTCAAAGTCGACCTGGACGCTGTGGGTAAGATAGATTATTGCATATGCCGGGAATCAGACCCTGGTCTCCCAGTTCGTACTCTGGTCACTGCATTTACACGCTTTCATGATTTACTACAACTGGGACAAATTACGGGAAGTGGGCTGGACATGTAGCTCGAATGGAAAAGTTTGGGAATTCGAACAAAATATGCGTAGTCCGCTTCGAAAAAAAAAATTGGAAGACTGAAGAGATGAGAGGATAATATTAAATCGATATTAGGGCCGTTATTGTGGACTGATTCGAATTGACTCCTGAAGGTATACCACACACGGTATTTCTGTGCAGCTTAGGAAATCGGAACGTGAAAGTGAGGTGCACGTGAGAATTGATCTTTTAAGAAACTACGGGGATAGTATGGAGCTCAGTCGGTTTAGCGACTAGCTACGGATATATACGACAGAGGGATCGGAGTTTGAGTCCCAGTAGGGTAAAGAATTTTCTTCTCGTAGTCCAGACAGATTCTGGGGCCCATCCAGTCACCTATCAAATGGATATCGGGGCCCTTTCCCCGGGGTAAAGCGGCAAGGGCGTGAAGCTGACCACTCTTATCCATCTAGTGCCGAGGTCAAGAAAATGTGAATGTATATAGCCACTCCCCATACGCCATCATGGCGAAGTGCTTAATTAGTTAAGTACAAGGACAACTCTTTCCTTTTACCTTTTATGGGGATGGAATGATTCTGACAGCAAACAGCGACTGTCCCCTAAAGAGCATCGGTCGGCTGTTATATGCAATGCAGACATAACGTGTTTTCTGCACAGTAGGAACTGAACTTTTAAATTTTAATTCGATTAACTATATCCGGAAGGTCCTGCCACCGGCCGTCACCGTCTCCAAACAAACGCTAAAGGTTGAGATGGTTCCCAAGTTGCTACTGCGCGCTTCTCATGCGGCGCTCCCTACTTAAACTCATCATAATTAAACCCCTCTGCTGTAAAGGCCACCATAGATATTTTCCTGAATTATGCAGTTCGAGATTAATTCCGGAGAACCGAATCCCCACGCCACTGCTTCTCACCATCATAACGCCTTCACTTCGACACCGCCCTTACCGGGAGGAGGAGCGGGCGGTACCCTCTCACACAGTTGTGCCCATTTTCTCTCCTTTTCTGACATCCGTCACTTTCCAGGCTTCAGGGCTAGAGGGAAATGAGTACTGAAGTGGTTGGTGTGGAGGGCGCCGCGTTCACTTCGCGATAGACGTGCTGGTGCGTGGAGGGACGGGAACATGAGCTTTCGGCTGAAGTGTCCGAGCTGACTGCTCTGGATTTTTTAATTGGCTCTATAACCGTTTCTATAGCATAGGTGGAGTCACGGTCACTGGGGAACGGGAGGTGTACTGACCGGCTGCAGGTTGGGCAACAGAGCGGGGAGAAAGATTGTTCTCCACAACGTCCAGCCTGGCGCTAGAGCCCATGGGAATCGGGCATTACATCTCCGAGAGTAAAGCGGCCGGAACGTGAAGCTGATCTCCAACCTGCATCCGGTGCTGAGGTTAGGGATCCTTAGAGCTATACCGACATTTCCTCACGTTTTCATGTCATGGGGTTAGTTAAGCTCGGGGACAACTTCCGCAATTTGTATCTCTTATTATGAATAAAACTGACGTAAAGAACAGGTTAGGTGTATGTTTTAATTACATCACTGCAAGTTACCTTGACATGTAGAATGAAATGGTAAAGTGAACATTAGAATTCAAAAAGAAATGCTGCTGGAAGGTGAAGTTAAGAAGAAGGAAAGCTATCCCTTTAACAGGCTGTTGAGGCCCATAGGGTTGTGAGACATCAAGGCTCCCACATTTTCTAGACAATCATCTCACAGATGGCGGTAAGTTTGTCAGCCTTATGAACCGGCTGCCCTTTACACTCAAGAAGATTCCTGGTAGGATTAGGTCAATTGCAAAACTTCAGTGTCCTCATTGGGAATCTAACCCGTGACCTTCAGATTGTAGCATAGTGCCTCAACCAACTAGTCTGACACATGCCCCTTTGTAGCTGAAAGACAGGTAGTTAACTTTTTAAACTCTGTCACAGATCTTTGGAGTTTTGAATCATGTGTTTCTGGGAATTCTACTCAACTTCCCCATCCAGAAAGAGGGCTTTATACATGCTGCTTTCATTAAAAGAAGCATGAAGGAAAGTAATATGTTTATTCCAGAAATCGAAGCCTATATGAATGGATAAGCTGAAGAAGCTTAATGCTGTAATTTTACCAGCCTTCTCTATGCAGGAAGAAGATAGATAATGATAGCAAAAGACAAATGTCAGAACTGCTGATTAAAATTTATGAGATGAATGACAAAATAAACTGAATGGATCGTGAAAGAAATTAAGACACATTAAAGAAAGTAAATAAAGACACCCATGTTGGATACAATTAAGAAATTTGAAATTAATTAGATTCAGGAAGTTGACAGAATGCAAAGAATCTCATTTATGGAAACAAAAAAAATGTTCACTGCCTGGGTTAAGAAAGAGAGAAAGACCTTTTAAGAGACAACTTGACAGATGAGACCAGTCACCAGGTGACCCACCTCCTGAGCGCTGCATGATGGTGCAAGGCTCAGGCATTACTTTCAGTGATTAGGGACTCTTGTTAGGACTGATGAAGGTTGCAATTAAACACAGTTATAAAGACGACATTTTATTTACAAAAAACACACATTTTGGCATACATACTCTTTGTTCAAACCCACATTGTAGATTAAGTAATGTTGTAAACAGTTTCTGACAGTAAGTTAGTTGGTCAGGGGAGCTATACCATACACCTCTAATGGTCGGTATGGCTGTGAGCAGTCTGTCAGATCTGCAGTTTACACACTGAAACTCATGGGTGGGTTGAGACTCTGATGTCACATACATACATACATTGCTCTTTTACTCTTTACAACTTATGACAGGAAAAATAAAGTACATCAAGAATTTCTGTCATGAAAATGCTTCTGTATAAGTTACATCAAATTGTACATATATGTTAAGTTTTTAAAGAATCCAAGTTTTTTTTTTGCTATATTTTTTAAGTTAAAGAACCACTTTGGTTTAATAACAGCTGAACTGAAATGGCAAATGAGAAGTGGTCTGCCCATAACTTCGCTCTTCAGAGTTGACATTTGGTGTGTTGTGTGACACTTATACACACATCCGATGCTCTGCTGTCAGATAATTTTTTTTTTAAAGTGTTTGTTCTGGTATATGGTTCACGCCATTTTGTTTCACTTCTTAAATCCCAACTTTTTAAGTGCCTTCAGATCTAGTTCACCGTAGTAGTCTTCGCTGCAGGTTTTCGTGAAATGGAAGACAACATTTTTTTTCTAGGTTAAGTTGTCATGGATTGAATATTTAGTGGGCATCATACATGCAGTTTTCTGTGTAGCTCAGATATTCAGTGCAATAAAACTGTGTTGCTGTAGCTGAATTAACATTATAATAATCTGATTTTTAGGGATGGTAATTCTCAAACGTTGAAAGCAAATAATTTTTCACTTGTAACACTACTTTGTGGTTTAGAAGTGTGCAAACTCATACCTTGAGATCTCTTTCTGAGCAATATCTCTGAGGCTGTGTCTGGTACTGCAGAAGACTGCACATTGGCCCAGCCTAGGTCTTTACATTGTAACCCATGTCACTGTGATATGGCAGACGCTTTTAGTTATATTTTCTGATATTTCACAGACCAGGATATAAGAATTTGTGCACCAAATTATAAATAAGTGAATGTTAAAGCTTTGGCCCATTAATAAAACTGAACAGGAGCAATAGTATAGCAGCAAGTGAGTGTTTAGTAACATTACAAGTCTTCCAGGATGTGCCAGAAACCCTGTAGATGGAGGCATCCCATTCATCCAAAACTTTGATATGTATATATTCATACCTATTTCATGTAAATTAAAATTTTTGAGGACATGATCTTGTGTTAATTGGACTTGAATAACTTCATTGTGCCATATCATAGCATCCATGGTCCATAACCATTACTACTGCTTTTATACACATTGCATCAGCATTTAGCACCTTGTTAGCTGGTCTCTTGATGATATATGTGTACAGTTTTGGAATGCACATGCATCTAAGTCAAATGCTTTTTGTTATGGTATTTATTATCTTGGGAAGTATGAACATATATATACCTGTGCTGGGCACCAGGAAGAGTTCTTTTTACAGACAACACACCCGTGCATGAAAACAGTCTCAGAGGTTCCATAGGCTGTCATAGGTTAAACTTATTCCCAGTAGATGAGGTGGTGGAGGTGTTGGGTGTTGATGTTCATATTATATCAAAACATTTTTATGTTATGTATAATTGTATATATACATATTTTGTTATATTATGACCATATTCCTGTAGATTCTAAAAAGGGTTCTGACAGTCGTGTATAACCCTCAGAATTACTTGGTTTTTGGACATTGTCCATTATCTGGTATTCTAAATACTAGAAAACAAAATGTTTCCAAAACTGGATCTGATTCTGTCCTCAGGTGAGGGGGGAGGCACCTCCTCTATTGAGTCTCTAAAGGAAAGAGCTGGTCCAGTGACTGAAGTTAGATCTTTCTAAGGGACTCTACAGAGTGGGTGTCTCTTATCACCTGAGGACAGAAACAGGTCCACCAGTTTCCAAAACTTTCTGTTGTTTATTTCTTAAAATACCGGACGATAGACAAAGTTTGAAAACCCAGTAACTCTGATGATATTCTTGTACTTAATAGAATTTTTATCGAATTGTAATGATATTTATGAAGCAGTTTAATATTTTAGGCAATGATTCAAGGCTGTTAGGTAACAGTTAACTTGCAGACGCAACAAGTAGCTAGTTCTGTTAAGAATAACAATCGTTTTGACTCTTGAAATTTTTATGTGTACCTTAAATCAAGATTAGAAGTTTAGAAGTTTTGGTGGAGGGGGGCACAGATATTTCTAATATAAGGAATTGATTCTGTCAGTAATAAGGCTTGAAGGCTAATAGAACTAGCCCATTAAGTTGATGACAGAGCAAGTCTTTCATTGTTTTAAGACTATGGAAATAGTTGGAAGAGGATTTCATTTCTTCCATACGTGTTTTTTACATACTTTTTGCTGATTGTTTTGAACGCTAGACTAAATTAATTAAGGGGATTAGTGGCGTGGGTCTTATGCTTCTCCTTGTGAAGCGGGTGGAGAAGGCCTGTTTTGGTTTCCCTGGGGACGGGGTTTGCTAGGCTTGCTGTTGGGGGCTGCAGCTGGGGAAGAGCTGCGGCCCTGCGAGTTGTTCAGTCCTGCTAGAAGCTCACTCTTGCGGATGCTCTTCAGATCCAAGTCGCCATAGTAGTCTTCGCTGTTGTGTTGGTAATGGTTAGAGGGAGAAGAGCGGAAACGGAAATAGAAACACACAGTAGTGAGAAAAATGGTTGCGCATGCGCATGCTGTGCCCTCTGTTGTCCAGAAGGAAGCCTAAAACACTCGTCTGTTAGACTGAGATTAAATTAAATGTTTTAACAAATTAGGGCAACTTATTTAAAGTGTCGTAAGTTCATATATAAGCAGAACGTAATTATTAATGCATTCCACAGGAAAAACTACTGGAATGATTAATGAACAAATGACAGTCTTTGTATAGGGTCTTCCTGATACGATCAAAAACCAAGACTTGACTCATTGCTTTCAAATTGAACACTCGCAGTTGCACGAGTAGTGTGCGTATTAGCCTGTTTATTTGCGTAAAGAAATTTTAATAATAGAATATTGAAAAAATTACATTAAATACATTTCGAGATTTAAATTGAATCTCTGGTAGGACTTTAGTCAGTAAGTAACAGGCCGTGGAGGCCCGTAGGGTTATGAGACGTCGAGGCTCCCACATTTTTAGACAGTCGGCTCACAGATGGCGCTGAGTTTGTCAGCCTTATACGCCGGCCGCCCTTTAGCCCCCAGGAAGACCCCTGGTACTCATTTCTGTTAGAGGCTGAGTCGACTCAGGGCCATAGTGCCGCTGGAAGGATTAGGTCAATTGAAAAAATCCGATGACCTCATCGGGAACGGAACCCGCGACCTTCCTACTTATAGCATAGTGCCCCTCAGTAAATAACACTATTCTGAATAGTTCTGAGTTAACGAGTTGGACTATTCAGCAGTACACGCAGTGTTCACTTTATGAGTTCAGCCTCAAAATCTGAGTTTACTTTCCTGATAACAGCTTAAAATATTCTGGATCAATTCAATCATGTAGAGCAACAGAAGTTCAAACTAATTTATGGGCTTATTGAAATTTGTTTTTTTTCCTAAAAGTATAAATTTGTGTGACACGATGAGGCTACATGCGAACTGAATTAAACGTGGGTGATGCCGTGAATGTTAATTCGAATGAAATTAAACAATTGAAGCATCAGAGATTCATCACACAGATCATAAAGCACAGAAAATGTGAGTAATAGTTGAGCAACCTATGAAATTTACTAGAAGCATTCTAGGTGTGTAATCTATACCAGACTGGAACAGCTGAACTAGACAGTAACTAGGTGAAATTATACTACAGTAAAGCAGACTAGATTCTATCTATAGATAAGCTTCATCAGTTATTTTGTACAGTATCTACAGCAGCACTGTTTGTCTATCTGATGCTGACAACACAACTCAGCTGTGCCCTAGCAACATGAACAACGTAAGACTAAGTGAGGTTATATGGAACATTCTGTACAAGGGGGACGATGCAGAACGGTGTTCCAGAATTCTCGGAGGGGTGGGAGCGTGAATATGGAATTGTAAAGAATTTGAAAGGAACTGCTCGAGGCATACTCTAAGTAATATCTTGGAGGGACTGAGGAAGACCACCAGGAACTTCAATAATGATAGCCGATGTCCAGGCCAAGAACATTGCGAAAACAAGTCTGGAGCGTTATCGCTGTGCCTACCCGCTCCTTAACGCGTCATCTCGAAAAAAAATAAATATTTAATATAATATTAAAATATATTTAAATGTAGATGTACGCTTCTTGGAAAAGGATGAGTTTTGTGTTTAGTTCGGTCGGACCAAGTCTCTTTGTCAGTCTTTTTTGACAGAATTACCGCTGCGAAGTGAGACGCCGAATTTTGTGAGTTACTGGCGTAGAACATGCCTGTTGCACGAACAGTAACGGGGGAAGATTGAGGGTGGGGGGGCTCCCCAAAGTGCTCATTTGTGAAACAGATTCGGTGACATTTTAATGTTGCAGTATTTCTGTCTCAGCGCAGAGCCCTCTGTTGTTGGTCGTACCACGGGCTCGGGTTCCTTGGTTGTAACGAGGTCACCCTGGTTTCAAATTCCGGAGGTTTCGCGTGTACGGATTGGTTTCTGCGCACAGAAAAGCCCTTTCAGCAAAACAGTAATTGTGTATGCCATATGATTTTAATATTAAGGAACTCTACATTCTGCCCACAGAGGGCATTTTGTGTGCTCCGTATGGTTCTAACAATAAACAGCGACTGTTTTCCTCAACAGCATTAACCGGTTGGTCCTTATAGTTTCAGTAGCTAGACTGTATGTAGTCGAATGCTGGAATAATGCCCTTTGCGGGTGCGACTGAGGTAAATCACGAAGAGCTTCGATAGCCATTATCCTGTTGTAGATTCGAACCAGATTTTCCTGGAGATTCAGTGTGTTTATGTGTGGTAGGGCTAACAGCGACGTGCTGGACGGGCGGGTTCGATTCTCGGTAGGCGGGAGATTTTCTCGTTTCTACAGCGCCCAGGTCGTCTCTGGGGTCCACCCAGCATCCTATCCAATGGCTACCGGTGGCTCTTTCTCCGGAGGTAAAGCGGCCGGGGCGTGAAGCTGAGCACACCTCCATCTAATGCCGTGGTCAAGAATGGGGGAGCTATACCTCCACTCCTCCATATATCTTCATGACTTACTACTTAATTACTCGAGCACAGGGACAGCTTTTTTTACATTTCAGTTTGGTTTTGTAAATGTTATTCGGATAGATTTCAGGGTTCAGAATGTGTAGAATGCTTTGTGTAACTTTGTTGCACAGGACAAACAGGGAGGTTGAGCGTTGGTATACTCACCAGCCGGGCACTTCCTCCGGGTCCTCGCAGTTGCCAGATCCGTCAGACTCCCCAATCTTGAACACTGTGCCGATGGGGCAGCCGTACTCCCTCGCAACGCCCTCCAGGCAGATGTAGTACTTGCGGCAGTCGTCAGGGTGGGCATGTCGCGAGAAAGACCCGGCGTTGGCAAGCTCTCCGGGCGCGGGGCACGCGAAACCCCCAGCCACCTCTGCAACAGTTATTTGCCAGAACACAGTGAAGCACCACCGTCAAGGACACTGAAGATGGAGAGGCATTATGTTCCTCCGAAACGAATAATGAAAGCTGTCAGGCATACCGACGGCTGCACTATTTCAGGGGGTTCCCCGAAAGACCCGCGCTCGCTCTGAGAGCAAATATACACATACTGGCGTCCGTAATCACATTGTGTAAAGATGCGTCAAGAAAGTTTGGCTGTTAACGTCATCTGTCAGAAACGGAGCAGCTGCGTTATCGAGTGACACAGAAACACATGACATATGTTCCCGACGGGTGCCGCCACAGGGTTGTTGCTACGTACCTTCCACCTTGCACTCCGGCACTTGATCGGCCCACATGCAGACGCGCGCCTCGCGGTCGTAGGCCAGTCCTGGGGAACACTGGTACCGACTGGCTTCGCCGTTCCAGCAGTTCCAGAATACGTCGCATTTCGCCTCGTCTGCGAAGATACCGTACAGCCGAGGGCAGTGAGGGGCGCTAATGGCAGGTTCTGGGGAAGCAACACACACAGATGTAACGGTTCAGGCGATAGCTACAACAAGGGACAGGCTCTGGGGAAGCAGCAGACACAGATGTAATGGTTCAGGGGATAGCTACAACAAGGGACAGGCTCTGGGGAAGCAACACATACAAATGTAACGGTTCAGGCGATAGCTACAACAAGGGACAGGCTCTGGGGAAGCAGCAGACACAGATGTAACGGTTAAGGTGATAGTTACAAGGGACAGGCTGCGGGGAAGCAGCAAATACAAATGTAACGGTTCAGGCGATAGCTACAACAAGGGACAGGCTCTGGGGGAGCAGCAGACACAGATGTAACGGTTCAGGGGATAGTTACAACAAGGGACAGGCTCTGGGGAAGCAGCAGACACAGATGTAATGGTTCAGGGGATAGCTACAACAAGGGACAGGCTCTGGGAAGCAAGACACACAAATATAACGGTTCAGGCGATAGCTACAACAAGGGACAGGCTCTGGGGGAGCAGCAGACACAGATGTAACGGTTCAGTGGATAGTTACAACAAACTACAGGCTCTGGGGAAGGAATGGACACATGTAACGATTGAAGCGATAGTTACAAGAAGGTGCAGGCTCTGGGGAAGAAATGAACACAGGTAACGGTTGAGGCTATTAAATACCAAGAAATTTGGTTAACGATGATCGTGTTTATTTCGGGCGGAATTGTGTGGGGGGAAGTGGGGTCACACCTTATGAGGAGAGTGTCCTTTATTGTATATACGAGGGTAAGTCAATAAGTAAGTTACAAATAAATATAGAACTTAAACAAATAAGAATATTAATTTGAAAAATGCTTTTATTTCTCAACATAACCTCCCTGTATATTGAGGCACTTGTCCCATCGTTTCACAAGCCCCGGAAAACCAGCAGCATAAAATTCTTTGGGCTGCTGTCGGAACCAGGCGTGTTCACACGGCATGGCCTACCTCATAATGCATGACAGGTTAGGTTTTCACAAAGTCTGTGCACGATGGGTGCCGCTCATGCTGACCCCACAACACAAAATGCAAAGAATGGGTCTGGCATTACAGCATCTCAATCGCTATCACAATAAAGGACACGATATGCTAGCCCGAATTGTCACAGGTAATGAGTTTTGGGTTCACCATTACCAGCCCAAGACAAAGCATGCGTCAGTGCAGTGGAAACATCCTGCGTCGCCTGCCAAAAAAAGTTTAAGGTGACACTATCCTCCAAGAAAGTGATGCTCACAGTCTAGTGGGATCATGTAGGCATACTGCTCACCGCATTCCAGCCTCAAGGACAAACCGTAAATGCCGACTCCTACTGTAACATCCTCAGGAAACTTCGTAAGGCCATTGAACAGAAGCATGCAACCTGTCATGCATTGTGAGGTAGGCCATGCCATGTGAACACGCCTGGTTCCGACAGCAGCCCCAAGAATTTCATGCTGCTGGTTTTCAGGGGCTTGTGAAACGATGGGACAAATGCCTCAATGTACAGGGAGATTATGGTGAGAAATAAAAGCATTTTTCAAATCAGTACTCTTATTTGTTTAAGTTCTATATCCATTGCTAACTTACTTATTGACTTACCTACGTACATCGTGGTCTTGTGGGTTATGACACCGTACAGTATTGTAGATGGTTACTCACTTGTCGAAAGTGAGTACTTCCTTCGTCAGACTATAATATGTGTATCCTGAAAGTAGTAACAGTAGTTTCTCACGAACTTTAGTAACCACACACCACACTGCACCGCGTCATAACCCAGAAGCTCACGATATGATGAATCTTCACCTCTCTGGAGACCGGCATAATGCGTCGGTTTCAGTGCTTAGCGTCCCGGCTTCGGATTTCGCCCGAAGACCAACTGTCCTTACTGAGTTATCCGGTATTTTACCTCAGTCCTTGAGACAACATGCCCGGGTATAGCCTGAAATCAGTCAACGACCGCTTCCCTGTACAAAGTTTTAGTTTCATTAGTTGTGTAACGTGAGCTACTGATTGCGTCGCCAGCTTCCCACAGCGGCAGTCCATGTTCGATCCCAGGTCAGGTCGTGATGGACAGAGTGGCACTGTGTGTAGGTTTTCTCCGAGTACTTCGGTTTCCCTTGCCAATTCTCATTCCATCGGCTACCCCATATTCATTCATCACAAACGCTGTATATTCTCAACACTGACAGTGCCGTGTGCAAGAAGTTTGAGTGACGAGGCTCTGCCAATAAGAACCCGCCTCTTTAACGTGGCGTTGCTTACCGAGACCCGGCCTGTCGCTGCAGTCCACGTTGTGTAGGTAATCGCAGTTCTCCGTGAGGAACTTGGAGTCGGTGGCGTCGAATGCCAGTCCATTTCCGCACGTCTTGAGTTCCGCTACGCCGCCGTCACACTTGTAGTACTTGTCGCACGAGTGGGAGTGGGGGTAGAAGCCGTAGTCATCTGGGCACTTGAAGCTGTCTTGAGCCAATGCTGAAACAGGACATGCGCCAGGTATCATTGGTGGCACTCTCTGAGGACTGCCGCATGCCACGGCCCCAGAGGAACAATTCTCAACCATCATTTTACTGTTCCATTACAAGAGGTTGAGTCAGTAAAAATGTCACAAATGGAAATAGAACAGCCGTAATGGATGTAATAGGTTTTCTATGAGTATCACTAGATAACATCGTAGTCTAGCTTCTAGGTAGCAGACGCGCATGCGCCTCTTCAGAGGCTGGTTGCAGTACCAAAAATGGCGACCGTGCTTGAGGAGTGTGTTACTGAGGAGCAGCATTCTTTTATTCATTTTTGCGGGCAAAAACACTCAATGCAAAGGATATTCATAAATAAATGTTTCCTATTTTGAATTGTTTCATTTTGGTCCGTTACACTATCAATTACAAAGTTAATAGAGAGTCCGTCAAGTGTAACAATTTGTAGGTCACTTTTTTTATTATCTCTGCCTTACATGTTTCGGTTTGACACAACAATCATCAGAGGCACTTGCTATAATTATGGAAACACTGTCGCTGTTTTTTGATGTTTCACAATTATGTTTGCCGTGTGGACGCTGCTACGATATGTTGACGTGTAAAAGCACAAAACATGCTAAGATAGTTGAGTACACTCTCAAGTTCTCACTTTTCATCCGAACCTATGTGTGCTGTGTGCTGTGTACTGTACACAGCACACAGCACACAGGAACATATCAACCCATAAGCCATACAACCTCAAGCTGACGTCTCCCATCTTCGGGATGAATTAACAAGGAGGAGTCCAGCATTTTATACCAAATATTTTAACATTTTAGCGTTTTAACTTAAAAATAGGTTCGGATGAAAAGTGAGAACTTGAGAGTGTACTCAACTATCTTAGCATGTTTTGTGCTTTTACACGTCAACATATCGTAGCAGCGTCCACACGGCAAACATAATTGTGAAACATCAAAAAACAGCGACAGTGTTTCCATAATTATAGCAAGTGCCTCTGATGATTGTTGTGTCAAACCGAAACATGTAAGGCAGAGATAATAAAAAAAGTGACCTACAAATTGTTACACTTGACGGACTCTCTATTAACTTTGTAAATATTTCCTGTTTATCGGTGGAAGTGTTTGTTGCGTGAAGCGGTTCACAACTGGATGGCAGATGTTTCGCCGATGACAAAGAGGTTGAAACGGACGTACGGAAGTCAAAAAGACTTCTATGCTGCGGGTTTACGACGCACTGGTAAAGAGATCCACCACTCTTTCCATTTTTAAAACATTTTAAAATCAACGTGTCCTTAAACCGCCATACAGCGTATAGAGTCGATATTGTGAACGTCGTTAAACAGTAACGCATGGGAGGGAAATAGTCCGCATGCGCCTTTTTTTAAAGTAAAGTTTTTTATTGTAGAAAAATATTCTAAATACGAAAAAGAGGACTAGACAATGCCCACCCGGCCTTCTGTAGCACATACTTATAAATATCTTATTCTATAATAGCGGCAACCCCGCGATTCTTAGTGTAGATTTTAACTTAAATCTGAGAGTTTACTGTTAATAATCAGTACAGTTACTTCTTTTGCTTTTCTAACATATCTATTTTATATAAATATAGGAATGTTTGTGAAGTAACAGTCGCCTTGCAGAAATCTTTCTTTTTCTACCCTTATCCTTTTTTTCTGTTCTCAGACGAAATATCCATCATTGTTGCCCGTTGGTCCTCATACATTTCTGTTTACTGCTGACATCTTGTGGTCAGATTGTTACGTTACTCGGCTTTTGGTTCTCCTGGAAACGGTATGCCGACAAGGGCTGCATCTGTAAGACTGTTTCCCTCTCGAGTGGAGACTAGGAGACGCCGTGGAAGTCGCTTGACCGATTGAGGCACGCGGTCTGGAGACGAACTGAGTTAGCACTCGGGGACAGTGGATTAAGGGCATACTTTCAGTTTGTTTGGGGTTGAGAGCAGACCAGCAGCCTCCACCGTAGAAATTTGCTCGTTACGACATGTCACGTAGAGGGATATTTGTCTTCATGATATATGTCAGGTATAATCTATAGTGTGATGAGTTAGGTAGGACGTGTAGTACGCATAGGGATCATTGGAAATTGTAGTTGACAAATTAGACCCCCTGTGCCCATTGGTTAGGGAGGGCTTTGTGGGTCTCGGAGTCGGTTTAGACTCTGTGGAGAACAATCTCTTGCCTCTGTCAGAACCGAACCTTGATTCCTCGGTAGTCAGATTAATAGCCTACTCGCTATACCGACTAAACTGTACATTTCGGACTCGGTTTACAAACCGCCTGCAACATTTTGTTTAGGTTACCCTCCTGCAGCTGTGTCGGAGAAGTTGCCTGCTGATGAGGCGCTCTGTGCCAACGAGGGCCGCTCAGTGAGGACCCGGAGTGATGTGTTGATGTGCTACAACGGTGTTTGTGACACACCCTGACGGAGTGTGAAAGCGCAGCACGTGCTTTCACTTCCAACATTTCATGTAATCATAACATACAGATGATGGGCCTCAAGGCATTGGCAGGAGCCGGCGCATATGGGTAAGCCAATGTATAGTCGTGCTATTTCAGTTTCGTAGACACAAAGAGCAGGAATTTCTGGGATGCAGCGCCGTCTAGTCCGATAGGAGTTTACCGACGTTTCGGAGGACCGTACTGCTTCCTTCTTCAGAACTGAGTAATAAGCCGTGTAAACCAATAGAAAGCAAGCAGAGTGATTCTATTTTCGTGTTCCATTGTTTTTACTTTTAGGTCATGAAGACGGAGCCAGTACGTTACTTCGAAACGTCGGTAAACTTATACTAGATAACACGGCGTCACGTCCTATGTTCTTAATAAATGTTAGCGCTCCTCAGCCCCGTGAGGATAATTGAGGAGCTATTTCAAGGAAATAGCGGCTCTGGTGTAGAAAACCGAAATTAAAGGCCGCGGGGATTCGTTGCGCTGACCACGTGATACCCTCTATCAGATAAGTTGGCACTAACTTCGCCGACAAGCGGCGGTCGCTTGGTTGGTATAGTTTTTAAGTTTCCTTGCAAGAAAAGTGGGGAGGATGTCCTCGACCCTCGCGGTACATAACACTCCCAGGGGGCCTTATATGCAGTTTATTGCGCATGCGTGTCGAAGTTTTGTAGCATAAAACACGAAATATGTTAGATAAAACGAGGCAATACAGGGATTGCGTTATATGACGCTGCCGTACTACCGTTAAGGTCGTCGGTGTTTTCCCTGAACTAGTCTCGGCCAGTCACCTTCCAAGCGCGTTCGCAGCGTCATAAATTGAAAGACTCTGTATAACAACATAACATTACGTAATACTGAATTTAAACGGCTTCTGAGGTACGCGGATAATTCCATTCATGGTCTTATATGCGAAGTAGGTTTCATCATGGTTCAGTACGGTTGGAAATTTGAATTTCACGAAAACTTCTAGTGTCTCATGTGGACTTTTAAAAAATCTGCTCTTCGGATAGTGGCAGATAGTGGTAGACAGACAGATATGACCTTCACATTGCGGTTTTAGATTTTATTTTGTAGTTTATACGTAAAAATTTCGACGTGGCTCGACCGCATAATTGCATACATTTCACACGAAATTTTGTGAAAATCGTTTGTCGGACCATATAAACACTACAGTGATCTCATATAATATTCCTTAAGACAAAAACTGGTCTCAGGTGTGGCGCTCGGAACTGTGGGACTGGTCTTCACGTAACCTTAGTCATGAATTATTTTGTGTTTGCTGAAAAGTTTGCTTTGTGCCCCATTCTGTAGCGACAGACAATGCTGATCAGTTAACAGGTTCTGCAGTAGGGATCTATCAAGTTCTCTCGCTCTCTCTACCCTGCCGACGACGTGACAGCAGAAGAAACGTAAAAACAGTTAAAGATACCTTTCCGACCCGTTTTCACCTTTATTTAAATTTGTAACAAGTTAGAAAATGTATACGCATAGCGTAATCGGCGAAAAAGAAAAAACCTATATGTCTGACGTAAAGTTGCTTTATTTTTCTTTACAATTTTCTTGCGGGCACGCAGTAGCGCACTTGGTTCAGCCGTTATGCTGCCAATCTGTAAGGTTGCGGGTTCGAGTCCTGATGAGGTGGATTTTTCTATTTGCCTAATCAGTCTACCATACTGCACGGCGTCACATCCCAGAAGTCATAGTCGCCGCCTCTATGGTCTAGTGGTCAGATCCAGAGGTCCCGGGTTCAATTCCCAGCGCTACCAGATTTCCTGTTATGTAGTGGGTCTGGAAGGGGATACATTCAGCCTCGTGAGGATAATTGAAGAGCTATTTGAATGAAAGTAGCGGCCCCGGTCTAGAAAACCGAGATTAACGGCCGTGGGAATCCTTTGCGCTGACCACGCTACACCCTCTATTTGCAAAAGTTGGCACTAACTTCGCCGACAAGTGGTGTCGCTCGGTCGGACTAAAGGCCACGGAGCTTAATTTTTAACCTAATCCTTCCAGCCGCACTACGGCTCTGGGGTCGACTCAGCCTCTTAACTGAAATGAGTACCAGGAATCTTCCTGGGGGTAAAGGGCAGCCGGCATGTAAGGCTGACAACCTCACCGCCATCTGTGAGCCGATTGTCTAGAAGATGTGGGAGCCTCGAACTCTCACATCCCTATGGGCCTCCACGGCCTGTTACTGGGATTTTACATTTTTTATTTTTTTACAATTTTTTATTTGATTTTTTTGCTCCGATAAATATTTCAGCGAGTTGGAGTCTAGATGCGCGTTGAAACCCACGCAGCTGCTCGTTATTGTCCTCTTGTTTCACCAAAACATTTATGAATGCTGTGACAAATGGCAAGAAAAGTTTTAACATTCACATCTAATGGAAATCTTGTTTATTAGAGAGGCGTGGTGAAACTAGCAGCCGCATTTTTACAACTTTTACTTGGGAAGGCTCCAAGAGCACAGGCAAAAAATAGCATTCTTGATCTCAGTGGCTTGACATTGCAACAAATAGAATAACAGTGAGACG